AACAATACGATATATATATATACAGTTCATCAGTTGTTTATGTTCCAAAGATAAGAATTTGTATGTACTTGGAGGTTAAAAGGTTAACAATAATTATTGGATTATTTTATAAAAATGCTTTAAAAAATTTTTATATTAGAAATTATGTAAAAGTAATATATGATAATATTTTTAAATTTAGATTTTAAAAACCTAGAGAAATTAAGTTGCAAATCCTTAAGAAGCAATTTTCCTCTGATCAGACCAACTCGGTTTACATCTCAACAGTTTAGACAAGCTTCATGGACAGGAGGAAATTATTGGTCATTTTCTAATGAGAAATCTTCTTCTAGTGTAGCTGGGAATTCTTCTCTTGGTTTAATTACTCCTCCTCCATCTGTATGCAGTTCTCAAGAAAGTAGTTCGGCTAGTCATGCAGGTAAGATAGTGCATAAAAAATAATAATGTGTTAATTTGTCACATGTGTTTGATATAAATGTTTTATTAATATGAATTTGATTATAAGACAATTTATAATAATTTTTGCATTAGTAAAAAGAAAGAGATTATATTTTGAGTAAATTAAATTTCACAAAATCATCTGCATTTGGCTTATAATAACAAAAAACTGAAAATGATAAAATGAAAAGCAATATAATTATGAATGAAAATAATAATATTAAAGAAAGAGGCAAGCAATATCAGCCATAGTATGTTAACTAGATTTATCTGATTAACAAATTTTTAGGATAAGAATAATTGAAAGATAAGAATGAATTAGTGAGGAAATTGATAATCAGTTTTTTAGATTTATTGTGATGAATGATCAGATATATGTACAAAATAATGTATTCATTTCAGTTTTATAAGATACTTTTGACAGTGATATAGAACACAAACATGAATATTTATCTGAAGCACTGAACTATTTTAAAAACATCTAATGTATTTATTTAAAACTTTTTATATTAATTACAGTTAATTGAATATGAGTTTTATGTTGTCATCTGTGTCAAATTAAAGTTTGGAGTGATTTTTACCTAATTACATCTAAAGCAGAATGAACACCTATGGATATTATACTGTTCTTTATAAAAAATAAAAATTGAGAAAACCTTGGCTAGTCAAGTTATATATAAACACTGAGTTATAACAATACTAGAAACGTTTCTATTTTTAAAATACAACTTATAGACTGTCATTACAAAAAAATCTTTAAAAAAAGATTCCTCAAAGACAGTACATACAAATGTGTCTTTATTTCAATTTAGTTCTTTCAAATACACATTATTATTATAGACTGTTTTGTATAAGTCTTTGCATTTTATTTTTTAGCAAAAATATTGAATGACTAAATTGATTTTAGCTTTATTTTGAGATTATCAGTAAGATTTTGAGATTATCAATTTTGAGATTTGAGATTATTCTTAGTATCAGACTTTATTTGAGATTATTATTAGTTTTGTATTCCATTATTTCTGTAATTTTTTTCTTCCTGTGGGCATTCTTAGAATGTCTTTTTTTCTAGATATGGCCAGTAGTTAATTATGTGTTTAGTTAAACTACTTTATTTTTTCTTTTAATTCACTGTAATGTTGCCTTTGGAATAATCTGCTATATTAAGCAGAACAAACATGTTTCCATTTTTATGAAGATTGATTTAACTTTTTTACTCATTTTTGGGTAATTATAGCATTTGAAAGTTTTATGTTGCTGGTTGATAAGTCAAACACAAACAAAAACAACCAATCAGGTTTTACTACATTTTGCCTTTCATATGTATAAGAAAATTGTTATGTAAATATATTTTTATTTTATTTCATACTTGCATCACATTATTACTTAATATTCTATTTTTAAAATTAAAATGGTTGGACAGAATTTTCATTGAAAATTGTAAATTTAAAACACAATGTTGGTTTGAGTATGCTGCACAATTGCCAGCATGTAAAGAATGATATTTTGGAAAATGTGACAAGTGTTCTTGCTCAATTTTCCTGTTACTTGAACAGAAGGTTAAGGAAACCAGAAAGAAAGTCTGATAATTTTCAATCATATTATGATAAAAAATTTAAATAACAACAAAAGCTTGAAAGAAGTAATTTTGTTGAATTATTATGATAAATATTTTTTAATAGAGAAATTTAAGTTTAACAAATGCATTCAAAAAACCTTAAAATGCAGCAAAAATTTAATAACTAAAATGTTTTTGGATGTTTTTAACAACCTTCTTCAATGTAATGGAATGCCACAATGGAAGTTTGAACAATTATATTCTAAAATGTAAATTCAAATTTTTAGTATCAGAATATTAACATGTAAAACAAATGTACAAATTTGAAAATATTCAAAAAATGATACATAAATAAAATAAAAGGAATACAAAAAATTAAATAGATAAATACCTTAAATACAAAATACCGTTAAAACAATGAACACAAATCTATTAAAAGAAATTTGTTTTATGATATGTTAACATTCCAATGGTAAAAATATTAATTTATATTTTAGAATATAATTGCCCAAACTACTGTTGTGGCATTCCATTACATATTCTGTTTGAAGAAGGTCGTTAAAAACATCTGAAAACGTTTTAGTTATTAAATTTTTGCTGCATTTCAGGATTGTTTGTGTTTGTTATCTTTGCGTGGCAGCTGTGAATTAGAAATTTAAGTTTGAGCTGGTTTCTTAATTAATTAATGTTTTTAAAGTTAAAATTGTGTTTGATGCCATGCTGTTAGAATTTATTAAAAAATAATTTTTATATTATTAATTATTATAAAAATGCAAAGTCTTAATTTTGAGAGTAGAGATGAGGGTTTTTTAAATTATAAATGCCAATAACAAGTAAAATTTTCATTAAGTTTTACTCCACTCAAGATATGACACGACCACCTCTATTTCCCCACTCCTTCAACCTTTTAACCACCAAAATTTAATAACATCAATGGCTCAAATATAAAAATAACACTGCTAGATTTGAAAAGTTTTGATTCATCCAGTCCTGAGATATAATGCAAAATAAGTGCTGATACATGCACTAGCGTACATATTGTTATAAGGGTCTTTTTTTGTGTAGTGTCTGTGTAATCCAAAACGAGTTGGTAGACGAACGGACAGCAATTGGTTAGAAAACGTACGTTTTATTTAAAAAATTATAAAACATACGTTTTCTAACCAGTTTTATCCAGTTTTATCTGTGTAATCCAACTCATTTTGGATTACACAGACGCTACACACTGCATTTGATGATACAGCAACCACGTCCTCTACATTAAGTCTTTTTTTTATGTTTTTGAGTTCTATCAGGGATCTTCTTAAAAAATAAATATCCAGCATCTCACTGAATTGTATATTTTAACTAAATAGAATACAGTTTTGTTGAGAAACCATTTATTAAATAAAAATGTAATAAACAAGCACTTAATTGTTTTAGTAGATGAAAGTTTCCAAAGGTGAACTTTATATTATTTGATTTAAGTGCTACAGCTTGATGGAACAAGATAGAACTGAAGATATGAATGGAAGTGCTCTGTTTTTGAAGTGGTAGCATCGAACTGGAATCCTCTAGTATTATTGTTGGTTCAATTGAAGGTTTTTCCAAGTGCTACAGCTTGATGGAACAAGATAGAACTGAAGATATGAATGGAAGTGCTCTGTTTTTGAAGTGGTAGCATTGAACTGGAAAGTTAATTTTCACTGTTCCTCTAGTATTATTGTTGGTTCAATTGAAGGTTTTTCCATGTGATCATAAAATTGTGATCTATGTAAATGTAAAAAACAAAATAAGATTCTGACTTTGACCCTTTTCCTATAATAATAAGTAATAAGACTTGGAGAACTTCATCCCCAACTGAAGTGCATTAACAGCTTGTGAACTCATGTTAGATTGTTAGGGGGATGCTAAATTAAAGTGATTTGTCACTTTGCATAAGCAGTGAATGCTTATCTCTGTTCTAAAACTTTCTTGACCTACATAATAAACATGCAAGGTATAATACAATAATATATACAGTAAGACCCTGCTTAACACTGCCTCACTTAATTCTGATTTGATATAACACCATCTGCTCGAAGCCTAAAAAAGCTCAAAATTTACACTGATTTAAATTAATGCAGCATTTTATTGATTCGTATATAATACGATTATTTACGAACACAAACCAATCAGAAAAAGGTGTAGTTTCTTTAAATCTATGTTTGTTTGTTGCAATTTTGGAAAAAATATAACATAATGGATGTCATAGGCAATATCTGTTTCGCTTGGCAAGAATTAACTGATAAATGCACGAACAAATGAAGTGTGGAAGAAGTTATGGCTGAAGGTATGCAAGAATTCTCAATGAGAAGAACCTATTGCTGTATCGTTAGTTTGATCAAACTCAACCTAATCAAAACAGCAGGATTAGGAGATGTATATGAACAGGATATTGAGGAGTTATCGCAGGTTTCTTGTGAGAGTCTTATCAACGATGACCTTCAAGACCTGGCAGAACAAGGAATCTGTGTAGAACTGGAAAATAGTGATTCTGAAAATGAAGATCTCAAAATATTTCTCTACAGATTTCCTTAGTAAAAGGTGTGACTTTAGGACGAGGTGTGACTTTAAAGATCAAAATAAAAAAAATTAGATTTATTAATACAATTCTAATTTTATTTTATTTAATCACTAATAAAATATTATCAAATGCCCATATTAAGGCAAACAACCATGTTTTCTTGATGCTATCATTTTTTGTCTATTCCGATTCGCCCTCCAAAGCTTCATTCCAATTCCCTTCTTTTTCACTCTCATTTCACAAAGCATCATCCTCTGATCAGTCGAGTGAATTTGAAATGCAGTATTTCCTGAATGACTTTGCTATCAGCTCTTGAGGAATGCTTTTCCACATACCTGATACCCACATAGCAAAACCGAAAGATTATGAAGCACATGATCAGAAAAAGTTTTTTTTTTAAATTAATGATTCAGAATGTGCAAATATTCATTAAAAATACCAATTTAACAAATATGAAATAACTAGATTTATAATCATTGCTAAGTGACCAGCTATTTTTGGACCATCTCTTTGAAAGTGACATTTACCTTGCCCTAAATAGCACCCTGCTATAATGCAGCATGAACTGTACATGGTTCACAAAAATTATTGCAAAAACGCAAAAAATCCCTCGCTCACGCATATAGGATGACACAGGTTCATCTTATACGCGAGTAAATATGGTGTTTGTGTAAACTTTCCAGCAACATTTAAAATTTTGGTGGTGCCATCTTTTATGATATTTTATTTTAAAAACTTTTTATATTTTTAACTATTATAAAATGGCAAAACACAATTTTGAAGGTAGGACGAGTTTTCCCTGAAATGACCTTATCATGTTAACAGTCCAGCACTAAACATTTAATATTAATCTGTGTTTTGTTTAACTAATTGATGAATCATATGTTGTAATGCATATCCCGGTAGTATTTATAAAAGTGAGCTGATTGTGATCTAAATTTTTAGAAGATGAATTTAAAAAAGGATAAGTGAGTTTAGTGAGATAGTATCAATTGAATTTATGGTTATTGCAAAAATTAGTTTTCAGTACTTCACAATAATATTATAATATTGTGTATTTTGATTTTTCAAAAATTTCTGATTTAATAAAACTGTAATTATATCTTGTGTTGGTTTATACAAAAGTTGGCAATTTGAATTTTTGAACCCTGTATCTAATAGTTGTTTATTTAGGTGTAAAAGTTTGGATAAATAATTTACATCAGGTTACAAGATTTAAATTTAAGTTTTTTACAGACTAATATTAAAAATTAATAACTAAATTTGGAGTTACTTTTCTGATTCCTATCATTACGTTATTGTTTTTTGATTTTATAATTTTTCTAATCTCACACATAGATTTTTCTTTTCATTAACATAATATATTGATTAATTATATAACCATGTAAATAATGATTTTCATTATTATCAAAATTTATTATAGTAAAGATTTTGTATGAATTAATATTAAAAATTTAAATTAATTTCAATATTTCAATACAGTGAACTCCTGTATAATGTGCTCCCCTATTATAATACAGTAAAAAAATGCAACTTGTGCTCATAAAAAATTATAATTTTGTTGTCCAAAGGTATATGCTTTCTTCTTCAACTTCTAGACCTAGGATTAAGCTTACATAAAATTGTCTGATAATGCATGTCTCGATAACACACTTTTCTATAATGCTGAACATATACCCTGCATTGTATGGGACTGCTGTAATTCAAAATTTCAATAAAATTAACTTCAATCATTTCAAATTGAGAAAATAAATTTAGATTTGTACACTAAAATAAAATTGTCAAAATTTTTCAAAATAATTGTTATTGCTTTTTGATATTCTGCAAAAAACAAAATACAATTAAAAGTTCTATAAAAAAAAATTTTTCCCCCTCAGAAAATTGAATTCTATTATTTTAGAATTGAGACTCTGATGAAATAAAAATTTCTGTTAGTTAGTTTTTTTGTAGGATGGTAAGTATTGAATATCAAATAATTTAGTGTTATATATTGATCAGGATAATTATTTTGAATTTTTATTAATTGAATATAAAATGTGTGTGTGTGTATTAAAACCCATATCAATTCATTTAAAGATGATGCTAGATACAGAAACTATAAATGTTTTTAATTATTACCATAAATTTAGCTGATAAATACAGGGTTCCTATGCACCTGAAAAGCCAGGAATTTTCATTAGTGTTTGGAAAAAGTCTTGGAAAGTCAGGGAATTTGCCTGCTTGGCTGCCTTGTTGATTTTTTTGCTGACAATATTCTTGCTAAGTTTAGCCGTCTGCAGGCAGCAAGAAGTAATGTGGTGCAATACAACGTATGAAAAGGGGTGCAGAATATTTTCAGGACCCAAAATTTCCTCAAAAATGATTTGTTTTAAGATTAAAAAAAGAAAAAAACTAAAATTGCTCAAAACAAAAAAAATTTGCCCTAAACATAGGTAAAAGGGGTGTAATTAGAATGGATTCTGAATTTTAATTAAATGATTTAGAAAATTTGGGGGAAAAAGATTAATCTGGAATGGAACTTGAACTTGTAACTTTTGCTTATCAGATAGATAAATTATCAGTTACATAATAGGTAGTATATCGAACATATCTGATAAAATTAATCTTAATAATCACACAGCCTGAATGTAATCTGGAAATTTAAAATTATGTTTTGATTTATTTATATTTAGGTTCCTGTTATGATATATATTTTATATTTATTTTACAGTTAAGTTTTTTAATATAAGATATTAAAGCTTATATGAAATCAATAAAAAATTTAGTATTCTTATAAAATTATATTATTATTATCTCATTAGATTGCTCATAATAAAGTTTACCAAAAAATAATATCTATTGCATCCATGTGTCTTTGAGACCCATATTAGTCAGATGCTAATTAGTTTGATTTACTGTTTCTGCAAGTGTTGTTATTAATGCTATTTTTTAAGGACAAAATTAATCAAATAGTATAGAAACTAAACATTTGTATATAGTTTTTCAACAATCTAAAAATATTCTATTGTACAAAAACAGTTTTATTGGAATAGTGATTTCTCTGAAATGAGAAAACATAGTATAATGATTATAAAATGAAACTACTGTAATGCTATTTTGGCAAACAGATCATCTTAAGAAACAGAAGTGAGAACATGAAATATGAAAATTAACTTTTTCCAACACTTTTTTTTTTCTTTAATCTTTAAGAATCATATTTTTTCAGCATTAATATCCTTGATTTCACTTTAGTCAAAATAGAGAAAATTACTACAGAAATTTTAAAATATACAATAAATGCAAATAGAAAATACAATAGAGATATGAAACTTGAATAGTGTTTACNTAATTAGAAAAAATAACTAATTAAAAAGTTGAAGAAGCAATAGCATATGTGCATTGTAAGTCAAATGCTGTTTTATTTTTGTCAATGTGCCATACTGTAAGGACCTGAGGATCAGAGAATTTGTACAGAGTTGGTCAGGGAAAGTCATGAGAAGTAACCCTGTGTTTAGCAGTTATATTTTTTATTATTGTATAATTTAAAATACAGTAATTAAACATTTATATTTCTGTATGAAATATAAAACAAATTAATATTGTTTTTTTCTAGAGAGTACTTGTGAAGAAGAATGGCATTGTGAATCATATGAGACAAGAATCCTTACATGGCCACCTTCCATTGCAAAAGATAAATCCGTACAGTGGGAATCAGAAACTTCCAGGAGCAACACCAGCAATATGTCACAGTCTCAGCATCACTTCCAAAACTCTGTTAAGGCGAAGTCCAATTCTCCACAAACATCTCATATCTGTAAGTAAACTGTCATTAAATGTACTTATATGAAAATTGTCAAAATAATATGATAACTTTTAATAATAGAGAAGATATTTTGTATTTGAAGATTTTGTTTTTATGATATTAAATACAGATATTTTTAAATATAATTTAAGGTTCTGACTTGAGAAAATTCAAACAAATAAGGCATTAAGCTCTTGCAGGAAAATAAAATGTTCCTTAATGCCTTTTTTGTGTGAATTATCTCTTGAGTCAGTGCAATTATTGGTGTGACAGCAACCATATTTGTGTAAGTTATCTTACAAGGTATAAATATTTTAGATAATTGTTAGTTTGACATTTTTGTAGAGTATTATACATAATGCAAAGTTTTATTCAATGCATTCATTTTACAAACTATCTAGTATATAAAATGAATATCATAAATTATAAAATGAAATAATGTTATACAAGAAATCCTTGTTAATTCAAACTCAGATAGTTTGAAATCCTGTTAGTTTGTAACCATACTTTTGTCTTGGCTGGGGATATAAAGGTTTACATGTTAAGGAATTTGGTTAGTTTGAAATACTACTACTATGAAATTTAAAGTGAAAATTTTGTCTGAATTGTGATGTGCATGTGTTAACTTGTTTGTTTAGATCAAAGTGCCTCCATGCTGTAAGAGAATAATAGACCAAGAACAACTCTAATCTTGTCAATATGGCTTTGCTTTTACAGTAACACATTTACACATAGAATAATCTTTTTTCTCTTATCTCATAAAATACCACTGGTTTTCAGGATTTCAAGATTGGTTTTCAAGTAGCAGATTGGGATATTTGTAAGTCTATGTATGCTACTACATTTGGGCAACTTTAAAAATAATTTTGGCTACATTTTGAGGAACTCTGCTTTACTTTTTATAAAATCTATGTAGCAACCCGTGAGGTTCTCACCAAACATGTGCTGTTATCTGCAGTTTATTTATATTATTATTTATATTATTATTAATTAATTAATTGATGAAAATAGTATTCTGTATACATAGCTGCATTCCATTTCCTTAATNTTGTTCGTGGAAAAGTTTGATAGAAACATATATCGTTTCTTTGATAAATGTTGTAAACGGTACGAATCGAGAAAATTATTAATTAATTAATTGATGAAAATAGTATTCTGTATACATAGCTGCATTCCATTTCCTTAATAAATTATATCAATTACATGGCATTTGCCATATTGTATAGAAATACAGGTAACCCCATATAACACGGCACTTCTATAGCACGGATTCACTCTAACACAGTTCGAGAATTGGAAACATCCCTGTATAACATGGTGCTTTTATAGCATGGGCTCACTCTAAAACGGTTCGGGAATTGGGTAAAACCCTCATACAACATGAAATGTAATAAAGGGTGCATTCTTTTATACCTCCGCATAACTCTGTGCGAGCATTCTAATTGTTTTCGTGGCTACTTTGAATGCTCTTTCAACAAATAATACATTTAATGGTTAAATTTTACAATTGGAACCCTTCTTTTGCCTCTAAAAGCTCATTTAGAATTATAGATTCCTCCATCATGATACTATTGATAGTGCTGGCGCCACCATCTTTCTTTCACCATCATTCCTAAATGCCTACAAACAGCAGTGCACTCCCATTGCAGAGCGACAGCTATTAACAAATGTACCCAAAAACTGTTACTAGTTGATGATGCTCATGCTGAGATCATCATAAAGGATGAATAATCCTCTGGTAAAATATTTACTTAAATAATAAATAAGTATTTTACCTATGAAAAAAATGAATAATAAATCCAATTTAAATAAGGATTTAACAGCATGTTTTTTTAATTTTTGGAACCTAACCCCCCTTTTTGCACTAGTTCTTTGTTTCGTATAACACGGATTCACATAACATGGCAATTTTTTGGAACGTAACTCCCGTGTTATACAGGGGTTACCTGTATGTAAATCTTGGATAATTTGAAAATTGAAGTTGTGATTATTTTGTTTCTTGAATTTCAAATTAACAAGGATTTCTTGTACTATTAAAAGCAAAGAATGCTCTGAAATTTCTCTTCCTTCAAAAAGTTACTTCATTTTATTTATTTTATTTTTTTGCTTAAATAATAATGTAAAAAGAATTGCATTTCAAATGTAAAATTATATCTAAAATCAACAGCTTTTTTAAATTTAAAAAAGTATTACATTTATAACTGAAAAACAACAAGATGAAAAATATATGTATATATTATGGAATTAGTTTGATTCAGAATGTTTTCAGTTTTAAAGTAAGTGATTGATATTGAAAAATATTCTCTTAAAGACTACATAAATGTTATTCTTTATCCCATGACTTTTGGGACTATTTAGTCAAATCATAGAACAGTCCATAGTTTTTAATTTGCTTATAAATAAAGAATCCAATTCTTTCTCCTTCATCTCTATTTTGCATTGTTATCTAAAAATAGTGAGGATTTTCTTCTTCAGTTATAAATTCTGTAGATTATGGTCATATCACTTTACCTTACTTCACTAAATTTATTAGAAATTATTTATACTATGCTAATTTGTGTCAAATAATCTAGTTCACTTTTCAACAGTTTTAGCATTTCAAGTGCCAATAATCAAATTGCCTTCAATCTAATCATTTGTCATCTCATTTTATCTATTATTGCACCAGTACTGTTTAAAAAAAATTAAATTTTCATATTATCCTTTTATGGCTATATCATTTTTTATAAGGAATAAGTTACTAAATCAGGTATTCTACTCTTGTATATTTTAGCATTAAGCAAAGTTTTAATTGTAAATAATTCAATTACATAAAAATGAAACTCTTTGCCAAGAGTTTTTAAATAGTTATTGTAGTGCTAAAGAATGCATATTAAAGTCAATAAAAATAACAGAAAAAAGTCTGATTTTGCCTTTGTGGATTAAAAATTATTTTTAATCAAAGTTATCAAAAAAACAGTTGATAAAATTCATCTCACACTATGAATCATTTGTGTGAGAAAGTGAACAAGTTAGAGATTTTGCATTTACAAATATATATATATATATATATATAGTCTATTCAATTAATAATGTCTCCATACAAGTGTTTTGTGCAGGAATTGTTACTTAGCAAACAGTTGTACAATAAATGATTGTTTGTTTTTATCAGCTACATTTTAACAGAACATCAAACCTTCTATAGTTTGAACTTAATTATGTTTAAAACAGATGATACATTTTTAATTGTGTCAACGTTATCAAACAGCAATCAGAGGTTTTAATTCATGAAAATATGTCTTTCAAAGAAATTTCATGAAAGATTAGTGGCAATTTGCTGAAACTGTGGGAAAAACCAATGATTCTGCAATATGACAATGCTATACCCCCACACCAGTGCTTTCACATCAGAAACCATACAGAAACACAGGTTTGAAGTTCTTGACTGTCTTCCTTATAGCCCAGATTTGACACGTTAGTGCTTTGGTTGTTTCCTATTCTTAAGAGACTTCTTAAAGGAATTCATTTCATCTTAGACAAAGATATTAGAGCCACCACATGGAAATAGTTCTGAGAACAACCTGAAGATTTCTATGGAAATGGGTTTGAGAAACTCATTAAACATAGATATATCTGTTTCAAACATGAGAATACTACATGGAGAAATGAATGTGTTAATTAAATTAGAAATACTGAACTTTTTCTTGTTTTGGTTTGTCTGATAGTTTTATACTGAGCCGGTATATAAATATGGAGACATTACTTATTGAACACTCCTCACAATATAAATATCTATAATTATAAATTTAAATTATCAGATTATTTTTGGCCTATATTTTAAGTTAGTTAAACAAAAAAAATTTGCCCTAAACATAGGTAAAAGGGGTGTAATTAGAATGGATTCTGAATTTTAATTAAATGATTTAGAAAATTTGGGGGAAAAAGATTAATCTGGAATGGAACTTGAACTTGTAACTTTTGCTTATCAGATAGATAAATTATCAGTTACATAATAGGTAGTATATCGAACATATCTGATAAAATTAATCTTAATAATCACACAGCCTGAATGTAATCTGGAAATTTAAAATTATGTTTTGATTTATTTATATTTAGGTTCCTGTTATGATATATATTTATATTTATTTTACAGTTAAGTTTTTTAATATAAGATATTAAAGCTTATATGAAATCAATAAAAAATTTAGTATTCTTATAAAATTATATTATTATTATCTCATTAGATTGCTCATAATAAAGTTTACCAAAAAATAATATCTATTGCATCCATGTGTCTTTGAGACCCATATTAGTCAGATGCTAATTAGTTTGATTTACTGTTTCTGCAAGTGTTGTTATTAATGCTATTTTTTAAGGACAAAATTAATCAAATAGTATAGAAACTAAACATTTGTATATAGTTTTTCAACAATCTAAAAATATTCTATTGTACAAAAACAGTTTTATTGGAATAGTGATTTCTCTGAAATGAGAAAACATAGTATAATGATTATAAAATGAAACTACTGTAATGCTATTTTGGCAAACAGATCATCTTAAGAAACAGAAGTGAGAACATGAAATATGAAAATTAACTTTTTCCAACACTTTTTTTTTTCTTTAATCTTTAAGAATCATATTTTTTCAGCATTAATATCCTTGATTTCACTTTAGTCAAAATAGAGAAAATTACTACAGAAATTTTAAAATATACAATAAATGCAAATAGAAAATACAATAGAGATATGAAACTTGAATAGTGTTTACATCATATTTTTCTATATATAGGTTTCAATGACAGAATCAGGACAGTAATACAGTATATTACAAAATCAGTTTCTGGAATATTTATTGTAAATAATCAATATATTGTCTTCTACTTAGATGTAAAGTATAATGTTTTTAGTTCTTTTATTGACTTTACAAATATTGCTTTATTATGTATTTTAAATTGGAAACGTATTGTTAAAAAGTATTCATACTTGATAAATAATACCTAATATGAATTTTTTACTTTGCCTGTTGGATTTTAGATTATTTTTAAAGAACTGTGAGTTTTATTTATATAGATACAATACTTACAAAAAAGTGTCATTGATATTTAGTCATAAATAATGTTTATACATTGTAAAAAAAGATATCCAGTTTCAATGCCAATATTTGTGTGTGATACACAATAAGTGATTTTACACTATTGATTTATAGTCATTGGCTTGAGAAAAATAGGTATGACTAGTTCTATGCATGTACCACACTTACTCTCAGTATCATTTCATATATATTTACTGAGCCCTTTTTCATTGGAGAAGGGCTCAGTAAATATATAGAGATGTACTGTATCAAAGAAAAGTTATGCATTCAAAAGGATGCAGATTTACTTGTCCTACTGCCTGAGTTTACACCTAAAAGAATTACACATGCAAAATTTCTTCTTACTTGGAGTTTATGTATGTATGTATATATTTATGCATGCATTTTTTAATGTACACTATATTTTTTTATGAATTTCTGGAATTTAATTTTATAAATATCTCATTATATTATTTAAAATAGATACTATGAAATTTTTGTTTATTGATTAATCTATATTTTCAGTTGGACCGTTTTCATATAAGGTGGCATTTGTTAGTGTGATTGCCAACATTATATTATTGATTTATTATGTCATTCTACCTTGGGTCAACTGAAACCAGTATTGCCAAATGTAATAGTTCCAGTATTAAAGAAACAAATGTGAATTGTGTAAGATTATGTTAAACCCATGTGTAATTTTTAGTTTTGTTTTCAGTATAAGTGTACATAATATGCCATACCTTACAAAGAATTTAATGTTGTATGTTTTTTTTATATACATATAAGTTTAAAATGTAATTTTTGTCAATTTGAATTTATATCATTAGCAATTTTAATAATCTATACAAGAATTACAGTAAAAATTTTAAGTAGACATTTTATATGAATGGATTTTTTATTGTGTAGCAATTAAATATGAATGAGACAATGGACAGAAGCTTTTTTTTTCAGATTGTTTGAATGCAGATATTTGTGAAGTAAAGCATGTGCTTTGATACATTTCTGCTGGTTTATTGATTAAAGAAAACAAATTTGTCATACTTGTGTGTCTTTTATTTCTTTGCCATTAAGTTTTTAATATTAATATTTATATGAATACTGTATTACAAATTTAAATTATTAGAATATCATTAAATTTCCAATCAAGAAAAACATTTACATTTATAAAAATATTACAATATAATGTATTTATGTGAATAACTGTTTAAACATCATTTACTGTTATAATTGGGATGCGATTTGAAGAAATTGTACACCAATAAATTCCCACTGTCATCCGTGTGTGTCTGTCCTTAATCTCGAGAATGGAGTTAAATAGTGAAAGCCGAGATCAGATATGGGAAGATTAGCGGCAGGTCCCGGATTAACAATATACGAACTTCCGATGCAAACCGAAAGTCATGTTATTTCAATTCAAAAATTTTTTCCTGTGAGGTGTTAGATGGATGACTAGCACGACTTTATTGCTAACGGAAAATTATAATGTACAGGGGCAAAACACTACTAATTTAAGGTGGAAACCATATAATTTAAATAAAAAATTGCAGTCCGGCATTATGACAATGTCACAATAAATAAATGCTCGTTTATTTTCTATTCTCATGTCTTACTTAAAGGTTGGAACTCCGACACCCATACATTGGGGCATCTCCGGTCTTTTGTCTGTTATCTTTTACTAATCCCCAAGGGAGCACCAAATTCCATTATCAACAAAACAGAAAATTCAAAACTAGCCTATTCTGTAAATGTAAAAGAAACTAATGAACCATATTTATCTATTGTCCCACACAACTTCCTTGTATGTTGACATTCTTTTCAAGGCCAAATTAGCCATCTTGTAGGAGCGCTGATCCAATGTTGAATTGTAGTTTAAAGCTTCTTGCATACTGTACGATGCCCCTTTTAAGTGTCCACCAGTGGCCAAGAGGTCTTCGTACCCTGAACACTGGGAGTTCGGTCATGGGTTCGCGCCTTGCTCGGACGGGCTGGTCACGTAGAGTTCTCCGGATTTTCTCCACGTTTGTAACGCCTAAATAGAGGCCAGTTTCCTTTAAAAACTCCTTCCGGAAGTCATCCTCCCTAGGCAGATCGCGTTGCCATAACTCAATGGTTCTCAAAGTGGGTTTCATGAAGCAAGGTCACGGGTTCCGTAAAGCTACATTAAAAAGCAACATTTAATCAAAACATAAGAAATGTGCTGCTCTACTGCAACCATAAGCATTTCTTCTCAACAAATTACTTTTACTATTTTTAAAGCCCTACAATGGATCAATGGTTAAAAAGGATTAATAAAGCAACAACATCCAAAGAAGATACAGAAAAAGGTGAACTTGCAAAGGAACAATCTGCAACTACTAGTTCAAAAAACACGGAATATGTTCCCTCTTGTTCTGAACAGCAGCCAGGCAAAAATAAATGCAAGTATGATCCTCAGTATTTGTCATATGGCTTTACTAGTACTGGTGATGAAGAAGCCCCAGACGCCATTTGTATACTTTGTCACACAAGATTAGCTAACAGTTCGTTGGCACCATCAAAGTTGCAAAGACACATGGATACCAGGCATAGTGTTTATAAAAATAAGGATAAATATTCTTTTGAAAGGAAACTTGAAAGTTTCAATAAAACTACAAATTTCGTGGTGAAGAAATACAGAACAGACAATGAAAATGCAACTGAAGCATCATATAAAGCATCTTACCATATTTCTCTTCTTGGCAAAGCACACACTATTGGTGAATCATTGATAAAACCTATATTGAAAGATGTAGTTTCATGTGTATTTGATGAAAAGTCTGCTCAAAAGGTTGAATCTATATCTCTATCTAATGATACGGTGTCGAGGCATATTTCTGGTGACATTGAAACCGAACTTAATTCACGATTACATGTGATGCTTACGCGTTGCAAATGGATGAGTCTACAGATGTGGCTGGACTGGCAATTCTACTTGTGTTTGTTAGATATGACTTCAATGAAACAATTGAGAACAATTTGCTTTTCTGTAAAAGTTTAGAGCTTCATACCACAAGAAAAGATATATTTGATTATGTTGATAATTATATAACAAATCATGGTATTGGTTGCAGTGGCGTGCCGTCATTGGAAGCGGTGGATGCGCCGCTTCCCTCATATTTTCTAAAAAATAAATACATAATAAATTTAAGTACAGTGGGTGATTGGTTAACGAACATAATCCGTTCCAAGACTTTGTTCGTTATCCGAATTGTTCGTTAACCGATTTACCATAGGTTTATATGCGAATTTAATTAATTCGTTCTGGAGACCCCGAAAAATAAAAAATATATACTTTCTTACTACGTTTATTTATATGTAATAATAAAAATACATACACACACAGTTGCATTTTTATTAGTCATGTTTTTTTCCGTTTGAAATGGTTAAAGAATCTGTCTAATGTCGATTGCTTTTCCCTCTTCTTCAGGATTTTTCGTAAGTAATTAATAGCATTGCAATTGTAGAAATCCCCAAGCCTCAACCTGGTTTAGATGCCATTCTAAGACCGTTGTTCTGACATCCTCCCACTTCAAACGATCTTTAATAACAGATATCGGCATTAATCCTCTTTTTCAGAATAAAACATACCTCGCCGAGATTCTTGGTGTTCTTCATTCAAGAGTTCTTAGCATTCTTCTATCGTCAGATCCGTTTCGGGTTCCATTATGAACTCTTTGATGTTCTTTATTTCTCAGATTTGATTTTTGTTACTCCTTTAGCTGCTTGAGTTTTCTGGANGTCAGTGGATTATGAGAAATTAATAGAAATTACATCCGATACTCAGTTAAAGGCTAAATTTGAAGAAGTGCCGTTAGATGTATTCTGGGGGAATCTACTTGAAGAATATCCTGAAATATCCGAACAGGCCATAAAAATACTTTTGCCCTTTATGACAACATATTGGTGTGAATCAGGATTTTCAAGATATGCTAGCACGAAAACTAAGTATGGAAGCAGACTGGATTCCCCCCAGATATGAGAATCCAGTTATCAAGTATAAAAGCAAATTTCCAGAGGATACTTATATAAAAAAAACAGATGCATTCATCTCACTAAAATTTGATATTCCAATTTACGGTAAGTGTGTTTTAAATAAAATATTTATTTTATTATAATAAGTATTAATTTAAATAAGGATTCCATTATATTACAAATAATGTAAAAGGGTTCCATTGCAAAAAAAGTTTGAGAACCACTGCCATAACTTAACAAACAACGATGCCCTTTTTCATACCTTGTGTTCCCTTTATTTTATAATTTGCGGGTGCTACTGTTTGAACTGATGGATGATTGTTTTCCAATGACTGGAATTCTTTGCTTCATTCAGACTATTCTGTTTACTTCTTGATGATTCTTCCAGATTGAGATCATTCTTTTCTTCTATGCTCTCAATCTATCCCTTAATTACAACCCTATAGTTTATAAGCATCATCCTGGATATGTTGAACCTAATCCTTCATCACATTATTGATATGATTAAAAAGTACTGTCAGGACAAAGATTTAAAAAACTGAAGTTTATAAACAGATTTATTTTCAATATTCCATTTATTCTGATTTTTCATAAAAACTAAAAGATTTGATGATAAATTCCAATTTCTTAATGTTTTCTGTCATTCATGTTATGTGAAATATAGGCCAAGTAATAGTTTATTTATAGTACTATAGTTCATATAGACCTACTTCACAGCATGAAGTATTCATCTATTAAGTTACAGCTCTCATCTTAAATAAAAATATTTTATAATGAATTACAAATTGCTTTTACTTTATTTATTGTTTTATGTACAGTGTGTTGGTAATTAAAATTCACATTGCAAAATAATATCTTGATAACTTATGAATAGAATGACGTCATATTTCACATGTCAGTCATAGAATTTTATTGGAAACAAAAAAGTTAATTACAGAAATGTCTGATAGAGCGTCAAATGGCGCTGAAACAACGTAGATGATTACTTAAAATTTATGGGTACACAATATGGATGACCGAGCGGTTAAGTTGTCAGGCTACCTTTTAGAAAACCCGAAATCAAATCTAGAAACCCCCAGTAGATATTTCATGAGTGCTCCATCCTAGGAGGAAAAATTTCTGCTTTCGAATGAATTTGTTCTTTGAGGAACTGTTATATATTCAATTACAAAAATTTAATTCCAAAAAGGATAAAACCATAAGTGGAATATAAAAGTTTTCTTTTAAGTACCTATTGATTAAATTATAAGAGTTGACTTTTTCAGCCCTCTTTGTCCCTGGTAATAAGAATGTAAAATATTTTTTGCATAATCATTATGAGTTCGATCAAGGCAACGAGATTATGGCCGAATGGTGAGGGATGAATCCTGAAATTTCCAGGTTAACATCTAAAAAGTTTCTGAGAATCCAAACCAGACTCAAAACAGGTTCACCAGAAACGGTTACTCTAATTGTCTGAATCATCTGGCCGTCAGTAATATAACCATAAAAGATACTATAGCTATTAAAATTTACAAAAAGCTAATGAATTCCCATTCCCGAAAGTAGAGTTTTTCCAAAATCTTGCTTAAATAAAAAAGAAATAAAAGCTCAACAAATAAACATTACAAAAACAAACTAAATCCAAGCACTTGTTTTTAAACAAAACATTTTTCTTACTCAATTTTTCCTGCTTTGTTTTTACCAGAAGGAATCAAATTATTGTTTATACGTAGGCCTACTCGAAATTTAAATATAGCCAGCTCCAGCTCTAAATGATATAAATATATGTATAATTATAGTAGAAAACCGATTATCAGAGGTAATTGGACGGATAACTGAAAACTCGGATAATGCAAACGGCCACAATCATTTTGGATTAAAAATTACAAATATAAAAGATTTACATCGGGCCTTATTCTAAGGCTTTTTTTCCTGCTGCACAAATAGTTTTGTTTTGGCCACGCGGATAAATCCTAGCGTTAGTAAGCTGTTCTAAAAGATATAAATGAGAAATAAGAACGATAATACAAATTTTATATCTGTAATTATTTATTACTTACAATCATCAATCATCGTTCAATCTTAATAGTAAGACGTGCAGTGTACTGTACGCCCTGCATGTGATATACAGTAATTTACTATACGATAAGTGCGCTGTGGTTGTGGATTATAGTTTAAACGATATAACATTAATGTTGCGGCTGCATAAAAAATATCAATTGTGTCTATTCAATACAAATGGTTAAATCCTACCAAATTCCTTTCACAGCTTTTTTCGTGGGCCGAATAAAATATACGGTAAATCTGTGTGAATTAGAATGGCTCAGTACCGAATTTTTTTTTTTTCGTTTGGCAGGTTTCCGTTTGAACAGGTTTTACCGTAGACTGTGTTATTTAGGTAAATATTTTAACTTTAACATAACCAGAAGAAAGGAATACTTATAAAACCCAGAATCGGACAATTAATTACTGCACAAATATGGGATTCCCACTGCACAATTCAAAATTCCCATTACATATTTTGCATCCAGTAGCACGTTAGAATATGCGCTGATTTACATGGTATATCACTTTTAAGCATTTTTTTAAATATATCTTTGTGAATTTAATTATGTATAGGGACAGCAATTTTTACTATCATTTATTAGTACAGCTTAAGAATAAAAATGTGTATTGTTACAGTTACGTTTTAAATGATTTGTCTTACATTGAAGCTAATTAATAAAGAATAACGGATACGAAACATTTTGTAATAACGTGCTATCGGTTTAAATTTTCTTTTATGAAATACAGTATAAGAAAAGTAGTGTATTCGCAACAGGTTAGGCTTGCAGGTACAGGCACTTGCGCGCCTGACCACCGGCCAACGGAGTGAAAATTTTCCGTGTGTTCTTCGTATGTGTACACCTAAATAGGGGCCAGATTCCATAGAAAATCCTCCAGGAGGAACTGGTACCCTACCTCTTTGACAGATCGCCTTGTGTTGCGTTGCCTTATTCCATAAATCCAATCTTTTACCTACATAAAATCATCTTAGGATCAATCATTTGAGTAAAATTTTAATATTATTTAACGTTTCGTGAGTGTTTTTTAAAAATCCATTTAAACAAAGATTATANTAAAAACTCCTGTGACGACTTTATAGATATAAAAATCCATTTAAACAAAGATTATAAAGAAACGAATATAGTTATCACGGATTCTTTAAAATATTAATTTCGAAACCAAACAATATTCAATTAAGAACTATTCATGAGGTAAAAGCATCTTCAAAAAATTATATTAACCATGAAAATTTTTAATATTTGTAGCCATCAGTTACAAATTTCGATATAATTTTCGTTAAATTTCAAGCTATTTTCCTCAAACGGAATATGAATTATAATAATTCGAAAGAGAATGTATAATTTTTTCATAACGAAACATAATTAGATATATTTTTCAGGAAAAAGCATGCAATTATTGAATTTTAAGTAATAGAATTTAAAAAATATATATATATTATTTTTTCCTCCTTTATAAGAAAATGCCTAATTAATGTAGATTCGCGGGGATTGAAGATGTGAGTAGATGGTTTCTATCTTCAACAATTTCTCATATTTGTATTTAAATGTTTATATTTATGCTAGTATAATTTATTTTAACAAATATAAAAACAGAAAAATTATCCCCCTAATTTTTAAAATTGTAAATAAAACGTAAACAGTATAAGTTTCACAATAAATCATAGTAGTATGGTAAATAAAGGAAAATAATTAGTAATTGAAAGATAATTATCGAAATATCATTACTCAGGAGTATCAGATTCGATAACAATACTTAATTAGAATCTATGAAACGTAAAAGAATTCAATTAAAGATTTTCGAGTCTCCCAAACGTGCCACTTCAGTAATCCATATAATTATAAAAACAGAAAGACAAGTCGATGATTACAATACCAAAACGGGACCTTAACAATTGTCTAGTTTTATTAGCTACCGAAAACAAGAAAAGGGAGTTGTTCGGGTTACCTATCGATTAACGTTCCTTCGTGATTGGTCAAC